TTCCATCAGGTATTGAAAACACCTGTGGATGTCACCGAGCAGCAATCAAGCATAATAAGCACCAATTAGGCAGCTTTAAAATGACTGTGATACTCAGCTCCTTCTAGACATTTACTGGTGTGGTTACAAACATGGTGAAGGCAAGAGAATGGTCCAGGAAGACAAGAGAAGAGGTGATTTCTCTTCACAGGAAGGGCAATGGCTATAAGAAGATTGCAAAGATGTTAAACATACCAAGAGACACCTTAGGAAGCATCATTCGCAAATTCAAGGCAAAGGGCACTGTTGAAACGCTACCTGGTCGTGGCAGAAAGAAGATGCTGACTTCGACTGCTGTGCGCTACCTGAAGCGTAGAGTGGAGAGAAGTCCCCGTGTGACTGCTGAGGAACTGAGAAAAGATTTGTCAGATGTGGGTACAGAAGTTTCAGCCAGATATATAGAGATTTCTTTTGACAATAAGACGCACACTGCGTAATGAAGGCCTCCGTGCCAGAACTCCCAGGCGTACCCCCTTGCTGTCTCCAAAGAATAAGAAGAGTCGACTGCAGTATGCCAAAAGCCATGTGGACAAACCACAAAAGTTGTGGGATAGTGTTCTGTGGACTGATGAAACAAAATTAGAACTGTTTGGGCCCATGGATCAACGCTATGTTTGGAGGAGGAAGAACAAGGCCTATGATGAAAAGAACACCTTGCCTACTGTGAAGCATGGTGGAGGGTCAATCATGCTTTGGGGCTGTTTTGCTTCTGCAGGTACAGGGAAGCTTCAGCGTGTGCAAGGTACCATGAATTCTTTCAGTACCAGGAGATATTGGATGGAAACGTGATGCAGTCCGTCACACACCTGAGGCTTGGGAGACGTTGGACCTTTCAACAGGACAATGATCCCAAGCATACCTCCAAGTCCACTAGAGCATGGTTGCAGAGGAAAGGCTGGAACATTTTGGAGTGGCCATCGCAGTCACCAGACTTAAATCCGATTGAGAACCTCTGGTGGGACTTAAAGAAAGCAGTTGCAGTGCGCAAGCCTAAGAATGTGACTGAACTGGAGGCCTTTGCCCATGAAGAATGGGCGAAGATACCCGTAGATCGCTGCAAGACACTTGTGTCAAGCTATGCTTCACGTTTAAAAGCTGTTATAAACTGTAAAAGGATGCTGTACTAAGTACTAAGATTGAATGTCACTTGGGGGTTGAATAAAACTGATAATGCTGTGAGCACAGAAAAGACATTTGTGGTTATTTCATTATAAACTGTTATGTTATATTTGTCTGACCTACAAGTGCCTCTTTAATGTAAATGTAAGCAAGATGACTGAATGATCAAAAGCAATGTCAAACTGGCCAAAACACTCAATTTCAGTGGGGGTTGAATAATTTTGGTCACACAACTGTATCTGTTTTACAGCAAGAAAATGTAATATGACCAGTCCACCTTCTGCATAGGTATATTCGATATCAAACTGATTATTATTCTTTTATACATTTTTATAAATGCTTGATGTTAACCCCTTCATGAAGAAAGTCAAACAAATCTTAACGTCTTAACATAGTTTTGCAACTTTGACATGTGTTAGTATAACTGTACATATCATTGCAACTACTACTGTATGCAGGTAAATTGTATCATGTTTTTTTCAAGATAAATTGGGGTTTAATTTGCTGGTAAACAGTAATGAATATCTCCTGATTCTTTTAATATATTACCAAAGGAAAACTGGCACAAATTAGTGAAAAAAATAAATATTTTTTTAATTTAGCTGTATATTTCTTGCTAATACCATGACCTACCACCAAAGAACAACCCTAAAAAAAATTCTCCTGCTCTTGAAAATTGCAGCAAGACCACATATGTGTATATTATCCACTTGCTCTCCAGAAGATTTACCCCCTTCATGACCAGGCCATTTTTTGCTATACGGCGCTGTGCTATTTTAACTGACAATTGCTTGGTTGTGCAACGCTGTACATAAATGAAATTTATATATTTTTTTCACACAGATAGAGATTTCTTTTGATGGTATTTAATAATCACTGGGTTTTTTATTTTTTTGTGTTATTAATAAAAAAAGACTGAAAAAAACCCCAATATTTTTAACTTTTTGCTATAAAACATATCCAATTAAAAAATAAATCTTCAGAAATATAGTATAAAAATGTATTTTGCTTCATGTCTTTGATAAAAAAAAAATCACAATAACTGTATATTAATTGGTTTGCATGAAAGTTATAGTGCCTACAAATGGCAGTGGTCAGTGACTTATAGCAGGACTGCGATAGTACGGTGGGCATTCTGACACTGACATCTCCACTGGCACGAATACAGTGATCAGCGCTAATAAAAATAATCTGACACTGTACTAACGACACTAGGCAGTTAACATCTGGGGAGATCAAAGGGTTAACTGTGTCTTAGGGAGTGATTTAACTGTGTACTTTATAGTGATTTACTAGGGAACGTTTTGGTTTTTACCTCCCTGTTTTGAGAGCTAAAAACCAGCATGTCCCCACTGACAGAAGATAGATTATTATTATTATTATAAAGTATTTATAAAGCGCCAATAGTTTGCTCAGCGCTGTACATTACAAAGGGTGACAGAACATGTGACAGAACAATACAATGCAAAACATGAGGGGATCGAGGGCCCTGCTCTTTCGAGCTTACAATCTAGGAGGGAGGGGATGGTGGTACAGGAGGAGATTGCTGTGGGGGATGGAGTGGTAGGAAGAGTGGAGGAGGTCGGCAAGTTAGCAGGGGGTGGGGTAGGCTTCCCTGAAGAGGTGGGTTTTCAGGGTGCACCTAAAGGAGAGGAGAGTAGGTGATAGTCTGATGGGTTGGGGCAGGGAGTTCCAGAGGATGGGTGACACCCTGGAGAAGTCCTGGAGGCGGGCATTGGAGGAGGAGACCAGGGAACTAGAGAGAAGGAGGTCTTGTGAGGAGCGGAGTGTGCGTGCTGGGTGGTACTTGGATATTAGGTCGGTGATGTAGTTCGGGGCAGTATGGTGGACAGCTTTGTACATCAGTGTTAGGATTTTGAATTTGATCCAGCTGCCCTGTAGCAGTAAAACAAGTGGTTATTTGTTGTTTGTACCCATTGTACCCATAGTAGGAACAATAGTGCATATGCTTTTTTATTTTATCTAAAATACGACACTAATACTAAATTAAAAATTGTTTTTTTTAATCCTACCTACAATACACTGACCCTGACCTTTGACTCTGAGCTTGACTTTTGACCATGACTTTGACTCTGAGCATGACCCTTGACCCTAGCCCTAGACACTGACAAGATCAAACCCTGACTAGCTATTTTATTGTTTTTCACGCTTTTTTTATTTACAAATTTCTCTTCTAGCAAGGAGAAAAAGATACAAAGTATCTTTTTCCCCATTCAAAGAGACAAAAAAAAACTACAGGGGCAGGCTATATAGTGACTGATCACTGTTATAGCTAATCACAGACTATCACAGCAATCAGGTACTCAGGAACCAGTCCTCTCTGTTCCTGATCATTAGTAGGAGACCCATGGAACTCCATGACAGCTTTGTCTCTGTGCTGGAAACGTGTTGTGCAGTATGCTCTCAGCACAAACAAAGGTATGCACACATGCAGTCCAACAGATAAAGACCCACTTCCATGACGCCACTTACATTAAAGTGTATGCTCGGCAGAAAGGGGTTAATGTAGCACCATCATAGCACTAATTCTGGAAACTGTATGAAACTTTGGGAAGTTGGAACTCTGGATAGGTCATCTGTATGTTAGCAAAGGTCACTAATTGCAGTCTGACAGATGTACATTCTTCCAGACTATTTATGATATGTCTGTATTAAAACTCTCTGGCATTCCAGACCTATAAAGTACTGTTTACAAAAGCCATTTATGATGGGGGTCATTAACAGGCTGTGCAGTTCCTAAAATATTTTAATGGGATTTATTATAGCTTGTTGTCAGTGTCCAGATCCGAACCTGGGATCTCTGCGGTGTCTAGCTGTAGCTTTTCTTGCCATGCCATCTGAGATGCAAGACACCCTCCTAATGATCCCTTGGACAATCTTGCCTTGTATCATGTTTCTGGTGAACCTTGAACTCATTGCTCCTCCCATGAAAAACCTGATTTAAGCCATGTCTCTACACGTCCTATCTGCCAGATTATTGTGCTCCCTTCAGCTGATATCTTGCTCCTTACATACCTGCTGCCATCTATATCTTCACTACCACTCATTATAACCCCTTGGCTTGTTCACCGACTACGCTTCTGTCTGACCCTATCCAACTACTACTTTTTACTAAGCTTTTGGCTTGTTCATCAACTACACTTCCTTATCTGCTTCATCTGTTAACTGACCCCCACTTTCTCCTTCCCTGCTTGGCAATGCAGATGACTGCTCTTTGGCATTACCATCAAGAGCTGTGGTGAAGACCAACTAGTGCTTAGTTCCTGCGCCTCAAGTGAGCCTACGTCATCTTCTAGGGCAGCGGTTCTCAAACTGGGGGTCGCGACCCCTTTGGGGGTCGAACGACCATTTCACAGGGGTCGCCTAAGACCATTGGAAAACACATATTTCCGATGGCCTTAGAACTGAGACACCGCTCCTGTCTCAGGCGATCTGTGGGCGGGATGATATGCTGCCCCTGTAACCTGGCCACACCTCCCAGATCACTCAACAGCTCCGCCTCCTCGCCGCTGATTGGCCACCGGAACTGTAGCTCAGGAGAGGCACACAGGCGGCCAATCACCGGCGAGGAGGTGGAGCTTGGAGAGGAGGAGCCGAGCGGCAGCGCGCGGAGATCGAAGAAGATCGAGGGAGCTGCAGGAGCGAGTGAAGAGAGAGGCCAGAGAAGGAAGACAGCTGACAGGTAAGTGCAAATTTTGCTGCTGCAGCCAGGTATGCAGGCTGTAGATGGGAGAGGGAGACAGCGAGCCCAGGCTGAGCAGGAGTCAGCAAGGTAAGTATCATTGGTGTCAGTGGAAGGGATAGTGCCCCATCATTTGTGTCACTAATACCAACGATGGGGCACTATTCCTCCCCCCACTGACACCAACGATGGGGCACTATTCCCCCCCACCACTGGGGCACACCAACGATGGGGCACTATTCCCCCTGACACTGAGACTATTCACCCAATGACACCCACATGGGGCACTATTCCTCCCACTGACACCAACGATGGGGCACTATTCCTCCCACTGATACCAATGATGGGGGGCACTATTCCTCCCACTGACACCAATGATGGGGCACTATTCCTCCCACTGACACCAATGATGGGGCACTATTCCTCCCACTGACACCCACATGGGGCACTATTCCTCCCACCAATGACATTCCTCCCAATGACCCCACAATGGGGCACTATTCCTCCCACTGACACCCACAATGGGGCACTATTCCTCCCACTGACACCAATGATGGGGCACTATTCCTCCCACTGACACCAATGATGGGGCACTATTCCTCCCACTGACACCAATGATGGGGCACTATTTCCTCCCACTGATACCAATGATGGGGCACTATTCCTCCCACTGACACCAATGATGGGGCACTATTCCTCCCACTGACACCAATGATGAGGCACTATTCCTCCCAATGACACCCACAATGGGGCACTATTCCTCCCACTGACACCCACAATGGGGCACTATTCCTCCCACTGACTCCAATGATGGGGCACTATTCCTCCCAGTGACCCAATGATGGGGCACTCCTCCCACTGACACCAATGATGGGGCACTATTCCTCCCTGACACTGACACCAACTGACACCAATGATGGGGCACTATTCCTCCCACTGACACCAATGATGGGGCACTATTCCTCCCACTGACACCAATGATGGGGCACTATTCCTCCCACTGACACCAATGATGGGGCACTTTTCCTCCCACTGATACTAATGATGGGGCACTATTCCTCCCACTGACACCAATGATGGGGCACTATTCCTCCCACTGACACCAATGATGATGGGCACTATTCCTCCCAATGACACCCACAATGACTATTCCTCCCACTGACACCCACATGGGGCACTATTCCTCCCACTGACACCCTATTCCTCCCACTGATGGGGCACTATTCCTCCCACTGACACCCACGATGGGGCACTATTCCTCCCACTGACACCAACGATGGGGCACTATTCCTCCCACTGACACCAATGATGAGGGCACTATCCTCCCACTGACACCAATGATGGGGCACTATTCCTCCCACTGACACCAATGAATGGGGCACTATTCCTCCCACTGACACCCTACGATGGGGCACTATTCCTCCCACTGACACCAATGATGGGGCACTATTCCTCCCACTGACACCACTATTCCTCCCACTGACAAATGATGGGGCACTATTCCTCCCACTGACACCCACTACCTCCCACTGACACCAATGGCACTATTCCTCCCACTGATGCCAATGATGGGGCACTATTCCTCCCACTGACTGATGGGGCACTACCTCCCACTGACGCCATGGGGCACTATTCCCACCCAATGATGACACTATTCCTCCCACTGAATGATGGGGCACTATTCCTCCCACTGACACTGATGGGGCACTATTCCCACTGACCAATGATGGGGCACTATTCCTCCCACTGACACCAATGATATTCCTCCCACTGCACCACTATTCCTCCCACTGACGCCAATGATGGGGCACTATTCCTCCCACTGACGCCAATGATGGGGCACTATTCCTCCCACTGATTCCTCCCAATGATGATGGGCACTATTCCTCCCACTGACACCAATGATGGGGCACTATTCCCCACTCCCACTGGCCAATGATGGGGCACTATGATGGGGCACTATTCCCAATGATGGGGCACTATTCCTCCCACTGATACCAATGATGGGGCACTATTCCTCCCACTGGCACCAATGATGGAGCACTATTCCTCCCACTGACACCAATGATGGGGCACTATTCCTCCCACTGACACCAATGATGGGGCACTATTCCTTCCACTGACACCAATGATGGGGCACTATTCCTCCCACTGATACCAATGATGGGGCACTATTCCTCCCACTGATACCAATGATGGGACACTATTCCTCCCACTAATGCCAATGATGGGGCACTATTCCTCCACATTCTGATACCAATGATGGGGCACTATTCCTCCCACTGACACCAACGATGGGGCACTATTCATCCCACTGATACCAACGATGGGACACTATTCATCCCACTGACATCAGTGATGGGGCGCTAGTCCTCCCACTGCAAAATTACAGTTATGAAGTAGCAACGAAAATAATTTTATGGTTGGGGGTCACCACAACATGAGGAACTGTATTAAGGGGTCGCGGCATTAGAAAGGTTGAGAACCACTGTTCTAGGGGATCTGCTTGTATATTTCCAGCTGATTACTCATGAACCTCTCTAATGCTGCAGCTACTGGCTCCCCAAGACTGATCCCAGACCGTGACCGTCTCAAGCTGAACTGTGTTCAAGTGTCAGGGGTGTTCAATATGGTCTGTGGCTTTAAAAGATGTTGTCTGCAGTATAGAGAATGGATTTAAATCTAAACATTTTGTCACAGGCTTGTCAATTTTGTTGAAAGTCTGGGGTTTGAGTTTAACTTTAAATTAAGCAGTTATTCATCTCTGTATCTATAGGCATGTTTGAAGAAATAGATTTTCAACATCCACAAAAAAGGCTTAGTTTTTTTTCCCTATGAGAACCAAATCTTGGCAGTCCTCTACTGCAAACTACCAGCAGGTGTTTCAAAGCTGTTAAAACTGGGTGAAATGGAGCTCTAGAGTCTTTGTTGTGATACTTCCAAATCTTACAGAAGAAACAACTTCACATTAAGAGAGAGATGTTTTAAAGCTCTTGTACTGCTTGTTAAAAATATGTCGTCTTATTTAGATAGCCTGGGCATAGATGTACTTTAAAGCTGAACTCCAGGCAAATATGACAGGTACAAATATTGCAGTTCTACATTTATGAATACATTATAAATTGCATTTTTTAAATGCAAGCAGTGTGGTTATCTACATCTGACCTGGAATCAGACTCTTGCAATCTCTCTGCAGTAAAACTAGGAGAGGAAGAAGCAGCACAAGAAGCAAGTCAGATGTTTTGCAGGGCTTATGTGCTAAAAGGAACATGCTGATAGGAGGTAACAGGATGATAGGAGTAACAGAGAGATGAGCTTATCAGTGTACTGCTTCTCTTTTCACTGTCCAGTTGCAAGCTGGCAAAGGGACAAGACCTGTAAGGTTCCTTTCACACGGACAATCCAATCAATTCCGCCTGTCAGTTTTTGCAGGCGGACCTGACCGGATGGTCCATGTATTTCTATGGACCTGCAGCCAGTCAAATGTAAACAGACAGCTGGTCCATTTATACCCAACCACCCACAAAGCAGAGCAGACTGTGCCCGTGTCCACTTTGCATAAACTGAGTGGACACAGACTTGTCATCTACCTACTCTGCTCAGCAGGGGATCAACAGAGTCCACCCTGCGCCCCTTTCACAAAGGTGTGATCTGTTCAGTCATGTTTTTTCAAACATAAAACGGCTTCAGTTTACATCAGTTTTCGGTTCAGTTTGCGTCAGTTTACTTCAGTTCAGTTCAAATCAGTTTATATCAGTTCAGTTTACATCTGTCTACATCCATTTTTGAATATGGAGAGCCAGAGGTGACAACTGTAAAAAGAAGCATTTCTTGCCTAAAAAAGAACATAAACAGAAAGGATGTAAATGAACAGAATCTGTTTACATTATTTCCATTCTGTTTCAATGGACCTGGAGGGCTTTACAATATCAGGGAGACAGTACAATTACAATACATTTCAGTACAGAAGGAATAAGAGAACCCTGCTCGTGGAGCTTACAATCTAAAGGAAGGGGGAGGTGATACAAAAGGTGATAGTTGCTGGGGATGATCTGGTGGAGGTGAGTCAAGTACAGTCCTTAGGTGGAGGTGGGATAGGCTTCCCTGAATAGGTGAGTTTTCAAAAATCGCCTAAAGGCAGACAGGGTGGGGGCTGACCGGACATACAGTGGTAGGGAGTTCCAGAGAATGGGAGAGGCTCTGGAGAAGTCCTGGAGGCGAGCGTGGGAGGAGGTGATGAGGGAGCTAGAGAGGAAGATATTTTGGTAGGAGCAGAGTGGGTGATTTGGGTGGTATCTGCGTATGAGGTTGGCGATGTAGCTAGGGGCAGTGTTGTGGATGGCTTTGTAAGCTGTGATTAGTATTCTGAATTTTATATGTTGGGTTAGTGGAAGCCTGTGAAGGGATTGGCAGAGAAGGGCAGCAGTCTCTGATCGGTTGGTAAGGTGTATGAGTCTAGCAGCAGCATTCATAATAGACTGAAGGAGGATAGCCTGTGTAACTGTAGACCAGTGAGGAGGGAGTTGCAGTAATCAAGGCGGGATAAAACCAAGGCGTGGATGAGTTGTTTTGTGGTGTCGTTGGTCAGAAAGGGGCGGATTTTGGAAATGTTCCGGAGATTGAGGCGGCAGGATTTAGCCAGTGATTGGATGTGGGGCCCAAAGGAGAGGTCAGAGTCTAGGATTACACCTAGCACCCTGGCATAAGGGGAAGGACCAATGGTTTTGCTGTTGATCTTAATGGTAAAGTCGTGAGTGGGGGATCAGGGTGGAGGAAATATTACAAGCTCAGTTTCTGAAAGATTGAGTTTAAGGTAGTAGTGTGATATCCATGCTGATATGTCGCTTAGTAGACTTGTGATACGTGAGGTGGTTGAGGGGGTGAGCTGGAGAGTGGAGAGTTAGATCTGGGTGTCATCAGCATAGAGGTGGTATTGGAAGCCATGGGAGGTTATAAGTTGGCCCAGGGAGGAGGTGTAGAGAGAGAAAAAAGGAGAGGTCCAAGGAAAGTGCACTGAGAAAGGTAAGAGGAGAACCAGGAGAGGGCGGAGTCACGGACTGATGGAGTGGAGTTTACTGAGGGGGAGCGGGTGGTCGACTGTGTCAAAGGCAGCAGAAAGGTCAAGAAGTAGAGCAGGTAGAGGAGTTTACATCCGTTTGTGCAAGGAAATTAATTGCTGTTTGTTTTTCATCTGTCATCCTAAGGCCCCTTTCACATGGTGCAGAATCTGCTTTGCTCAGCAGGGGATCTGTCCACTGATCCCTTGCTTAGCAGAGAAGAGTGGTCAGATGACAGGTCCATGTTTATGCAGAGCGAGCACAGACACAGCCCACTCCCACTCTGCTCTGTGGGTGGTCGGGTGTAAAAGGACTGGCTGTCCAGTTAAACTGAACTGCTCTCCAATCTTATCCACCTACATGGAGGGGAACAGATTCCCTTTGGTTTTTTTAGTGGATCAGACCGTATTGGAGGTAGGCAGGTGTAAATGGACACAAGTCCATAGGAATACATGGACCATCCAATAAGGCCTGCCTGAAAAACTAACAGGAGGACCTCACTGGATCACCTGTGTTAAAGGGGACTTAGGCTGGCCATACATTATACAATTTTCTAGAGAATTTTGCTTTAGATTTACCAAAAACCATATAATATGAGGTCAAACCTAAACAACCCTTTCAATTGTATCCAATTAGGCAGCCCCTTGCACTACATAGCTGAAGGTAAATCTAAAGGCAATTGGGCAGAAATTGGACAGAAAATTGTATAGTGTATGGCTGGTCTTAGTGTTACTAATGTGCAGCACACGTTTCACATATTTATTTGTAAAAAAACTTTAAAAACCATTTATCATTTTCCTTTCACTTCACAATTATGTGCCACTTTGTGTTGGTCTAGCACATAAAATCCCAATAAAATACGTTTGTAACATGACAAAATGTGGAAAATTTTCAAGGGGTATGAATACTTTTCAAGGCACTTTAGTTTAACTGTATATTTACCTGTTTGTCTTGAATTTAACTTTACATAACACCCTTACCACAGTCTTATTGTCTCATGCTATATAACACACAAACAATCCTGAAAACCCCTCTATTTGACAGAATGCACTTTGATGATTTTAGTGTTGGTTAAATGGAAGAGAGGGAGACAAATGTTTAAGCAAAGCTAGACCACAATGATAGGGACCTAGTAATGATTTGCCACATTTGCTACAATTGTTGCTAACCCAGTGCCCTAATGCCCTAATGCAGTGTTTAAATGCAATGATGTTTGTCTGACCCCTCCATTCAGGAAGGAGCCTGTTTAAAGCTAAGTTCACCTATTAAAAACATATTTGTTGCAGGTAAAAAAATGTGCATTTATTATTTTTTTTTTCTTCCTAGGAGCCTGCAGACCATTGTACCTGCGATCAGTGGATTGTGGTGCAATGTCAAGCTCCTGCACACACTACTTACACCTCTTTGCCTGTACCTTTGTATAGGCAGACAGTTCCTGACCTGTAGGCAGTGTGAATGAACTATGCGCATGCTTATCAGCGCACCCGCATCTTCAAATCTGTCTACAGCAGTGGTGGACAATACTTGTAGCTTTTTTATTCAAAGATCCCTGTGAATGAATGACGCAGCTGTGCAGAGTGCTGATTTAAAATTGTGATAGTGGGTGTGGGGGAGAAGAACCCCCACAGGCTGTCACTGGGGGATGCTGCCTAGAAATAACATTCTAAATATGAGTGTAACATGTAACATGTTACTAAAGGTGAACTTATCCTTTAGGCTCCATGTACACGGGACATTTCTGAACATTGGAAACTGACTGCTGGAAAATGTAGGTTAAAACCCGTCTGTTTATCCACATTTGCATAACACGTTTATGCGCGTTTTTGATCGTTTGCATTTAGAAGAGTTTTTTTAAAGATAACCTCAGGAGACCTTCCAAAAATGCCCAGTGTGCACTGAAAAATAGTAAAAAAATTAACTATTTCAGACATTTTGAGAGAAATAGAGAGAGCAGAAGCAGAGAGAGTAGTATTTGTTGAGATTAGCTGTCTTTTTTTTTTTTTTTTTTTTGTGGTGTTTGGATGTGTTCCAGCTCATTTCTGTGCAGAAATTATTGCAGCAGTGTCTAACATATTTTCTTTCATGCGAAACCTCAAAGTATGGTGTACCAGGTCCATTTGAGTACCGGGAAAAATGCTTTGCATGCATTTTTCATGATGAAAAAAGCCTCTGGACAGCATCTGGAAATGGAAGAGTTAAAAAACAAATTCAAACGCTTATAAACGCGGTTAGCTGCGTTTACACATGTTTACAAGTGTTTGGCGTTTAAAACGCTGATAAAATCTACTCCTGAATGCAAGTTTTCTGCATTCAAAAAAAGACTGTAAACTCAACTGCCTGTAAACAACTGTAAACGACGATGTGTACATGGACACATAGGAAAACAATAGGGAGAGTTCAAGGGCTGCTGAAAAAAATGCTGAACTGCTCCTAAACGTGAGTTTATCAGCTGCATAGCCCTTAAAGTGTAGGTCTTTTAGTTTAGGCTAGAGTAGCCAGGGCCCAAAATCCCTGTCTGTTTCTTTCATGCTGTCTGTGTCCTAATCAGGACATTTCCCATCTTGTCCTGAAGATGCAACAGGAAGTAAGAGTAAATCTATCCTAACTAAAGGAACATTCCCCCCTTAGGCAACTGTCATTGAAAGAAATGTACCCACTGAAAGATATTACTTCTCCAACTATCCTGGTGACAAGTGTAACATTTTAAATTTTCCAGCAAAAACACACCAAACAATAAGAAAGATAGCTTAACCCCCCCCCCCCCCCCAAAAAAAAAGGTTTGGCAAAACATAAACTTTCACTTGGGCTCCAGGTCAAAGATGGTACTGTACTACCTGGGAATGGGATTTTGTTTTTTTACTATACTGTATATATAGCAAGCATCTCTGCTTTCAAACAGTGCATCCTCATATGTATATAGTCTAGAATAATTTTTTTAACACCCAGCTTGAAAGAGGGATACAAAAATTATGGAATTAATGTAAAGTAAATTTCTATTCGGTACCAGGGCAACAGGTTTCAGGAAGGGCGCAGATGTTCTAAATTTTACTAGCATTGCAAGCACTGATCATAGTTATATTATGCATCCCCTGATATAAAAGAATACAAATAAAGCGAAGCATGGATCTGAATACAATTTTGAACTCCAATTCTCAATTTACAGAAAGAACCCCTGTCCAAGCGTAATAAAAAAAATCCTCATGACCAGACCGAATTTAGAAGTTTTGGTATGCAGAGATTTAATCAACAATTTATTTCTAATACAGTTAGTCCCTGTGTTATGGACATTCGAATTATGAGCAGTTCCTACTTATGAACGGAGGCAGTCACTGATGGCCGCTTGCACTCCAATCTGGTCCCAGATATCGCTGAGCAGCCATCTTGCCAGCTACTGTACAGTACTGTGCACTGCATGGTCAGAAGCACCGGACACATCCCACACTACTGAATGGCCACAAGCACCCGGAACATCCAACATCACTGCACGCCCAGAAGCGCTTAGAACCCGTGCAGCTGGTGAGATTTATTACAGTACTGTACTCAGTGCTCACTACTATTGTAAGTATGCCCTGTCTTTGTACCTGTAACTTCGATAGCAGGACTGTGTTACTGTACAGTATATCCACCTGTGCATGAGCTCATATCAGCCGTCATGTGGAGCTCCAATTCAATCATGTGTGTGTTTTTATACAATCTGTTTTTGAACTGTTTATAGTTGGACAATAGAGCTTTTTTTAATTTATACTGCTTGATTCTGAATGCAACTATCCTTCTGGGTCTCTTTTAGCCCTGTTTTTAGTACTGGATCCCATGCTGCTGGCTGGCTCTAAGGGACGGGGACAACTGCCACTGCTGCTGCGGGCTGAGGACGCACAACAAGTAGGCATATCCAACTGACGATCTTGCCATGTCAGTGAGTGTTTTTATACAGTACTTTTCTTATTAAAATAAATTGGTAATAAATTGACTGACTGCTACACTTTCTCTCTTTTCTTTCTTCTTCTTGTCCACTTCGAGAGTGCACTCCACTCCACGTTTTTTGTCTTCACCCTGCAATTATGATTCCAAAAAACAAGTCTACTGGTGATGCAGCAAAGAACAGAAAAACCATCACCATGGAAAATAAAGTAGAAATAATAAAGAGATCGGAGAAAGGTGAAATTCCATCATCCACTGGCAGAGCATTTGACAATCACAACAATTTTAAAACATAAAGGTAGAATAATGGAGCATGTGAAAGGCCATACTCCAATAAATGCTACAATTATTACCAAGCAATGCAGTGTTTTTTAATTATCAAGATGGAAAGGCTGTTGACAATTTGGATAAAAGACCAAAATCAGCGTAATATGCCAGTCTTTTTTTAATTGCAGAAAAGATTTAAAAGCTTCTCGTTTAGCAAGCAAAGGCAATTGCAACAAACAATTTGTTGTAAGTTAGGGTTGGTTCAATTGCTTTAAAGAAAGAGCTAATTTGCATAACATTAAAGTTCAAGGTGAAGCAGCAAGCGCCGATGTTAATGCTGCAAATGATTTTCCCAAGATATTGGAATATATTATTGACGATGGAGGTTATTTGCCAGAACAAATTTTCAATGTAGATGAAACTGGCTTGTTTTGAATAAAAATACCTGAGAGGACCTACATTTCAAAAAAGGAAAAAAGTACACCAGGACATACACTATATTGACAAAAGTATTGGGACACCCCTCCAAATCACTGGATTCATGTGTTGCAATCACCTCCATGGCCACAGATGTATAAATCAAGCACCTAGGCATAAAAAACTGATTCTACAAACATTTGTGAAAGAATGGGTCGTTCTCAAGAGCTCAGTGAATTCAAGCGTAGTAATGTGATAGGTTGCCACCTGTGCAATAAGTCCATCTGTGAAATTTCCTCGCTACTAAATATTCTATGGTCAACTGTTAGTGCTATTATAACAAAGTGGAAGCAACTGGGAACAACAGGAACTCAGCCACAAAGTGGTAGGCCACGTAAAATGACAGAGCGGGGTCTGAAGCGCACAGTGCGCAGAAGTCGCCAACTGTCCACAGAGTCAATAGCCTCCAAACTTTGTGTGTCAATGCCCATCAGTGCTACCTACTACTGCCTCCTCATCAGTGCCCATTAGTGCCACCTATCAGTGTCTATCAGTGCAGCCTATCAGTGCCCATCACTGCAGCCTCATTAGCACAATCAGTGAAGGAGAAAATTCACTTAATTCCAAAATTTTATAACAAAAACTAAGAAAAAACTTTTTTTCAAAATTTTCAGTGGTTTTTGGTTTGTTTAGGAAAAAAATAAAAAACCCAGAGGTGATTAAGTACCACCAAAATAAAGCTCTGTCACAAAAAATTGATAAAAATTTCATATGGGTACAGTGTTGCATGACTGCGCAATTGTCATTCAAAGTGTGATAGCGCTGAAAGCTGGAAATTGGCCTGGGCAGGAAGGGGGTAAAAGTGCCCTGTAGGCAAGTGGTTAAATATTCAAAGCAAACTAATCCCTTTATCCACATCCCCATGCTTTATTTTGCTGAGAAATCACTTTGGAAAAACACCCCCTAGCTTTTCTGGTCATGGCCATCTTGAGTAAGGGCAGATGATTCATATAGCATTTACTTCCTGATATCCCTCTGCTCTTAGCTCAGCCATGCATGCAGGAGGGTGTGCTTAGCTGAGAAAGACCCTCTTCTCCTGATGACTCCTGGGATGTATGACATCATTTGCCTAGGCATGGAAACCAGGAAGTAATTTAAGAAATGTAAAAAAAATGTTTAAAACAAGTAAATATGATATACTTTCCTATCTATTTACTAACCCTAGCAGCATAAGGATTAAAAACAGTCAAAGTTGATTTTGAGAGTGAAGTTCCACTTTAAGGTAGCCATACATCTAGGAATTTCATCCAGTTCCTAATGAATTGGCTAAAAATTACTTGATTACCAATGGCAATCTCCAGCCTGACATCCTTTGAAAAATAACGTTGGGTGGAAAATAGTCCAATCAGATGCAGCTGCTGTTCAGGTAATCTGACAGTTGCTGTTGCCAGCTGTCTGAATTCAATAGTGTAACAGCTTAGTAGGAAGATTCATCTATCCACACTGTATAGAGAGGATGGGGGAATCTGACTTTTTTGTTGAGCTTTAGTGTATGGCCAGCATTATACACAGATTTGAGTAAGTCCTAGAACATCAAACATATTTTGGAGTCACATGCTAAAGGAAATCACATTACATCATAGCCTGTTCCCAGTATCCCATTACAAAGTGGCAGCATTCTTAAGCATTTGACAGTGGCAGAAGTAGATACGAATTGTGATTCCTATAATCTTCAAGGCATTATTTTTTAATGCTGTGACTACACAGGATGCCTTTCTATTGAATTCCACAAAATGGCTGCCCTGGTGCCCAGATGAAGTATCTATTTTTCTTACTAAAGAACTGCACTAATAAAAAAAAAAGCAGCATAGTCTTCCAAATGATAAAACACTGCAGCAATTAAACACATAGTTACATAGTTAGTCTGGCTGAAAAAAGCCCAAAGTCCATCCAGTTCTACCAAAAAAAAAAAAAAGTTATAATCCTATACCCACAGTTGATCCAGAGGAAGGCAAAACAACCCAGCAAAGCATGATCCAATTTGCTCCTGCAGGGAAAAAAATTCCTTCCTGATCCCCCGAGAGGCAATCGGATATTCCCTGGATCAACTTTACCTATAAATGTTAGTATCCAGTTATATTCTGTGTATCTAGGAATTAATCCAGCCCTTTTTTAAAACAATCTACTGAGCTGGCCAGAGCCAACGCTTGAGGGAGTCTATTCCACATTTTCAGAGCTCTTACTGTAAGAAACCTTTCTGTATTTGGAGATTAAATTTATTTTCCTCCAGACGTAAAGAGTGCCCCCTTGTCCTCTGTGATGACCTCAGGGTGAATAGCTCTACACCGAGTTCACTATATGAACCACTGATGTATTTATACATGTTGATTATATCCCCCCTTAACCTCCTCTTCTCAAGAGAGAATAAATTCAGTTCCTCTAATCTTTCTTCATATCTGAGCTCCTCCATGCCTCTCATCAGTTTGGTTGCTCTTCTCTGTACTTTCTCTAGTTCCCCAATGTTTGTTTTGTGAATTGGTGCCCAAAACTGAATATGTAACTAATGGTTCTATCTACCTTATATGCAATGGAAAAGGAGATAATATGCAGTCAAAAAACTTACACACTGGGGTTAATTTACTAAAGGCAATTAGTCTGTTTAACCATTTGACGCCTGGCCAATAGCCGTATGGCGTCCGGAAATATGCACTAGCTTTCCGAGAGACCGCCATTTGGCGTACTCCCACACATGCGCAGTTCGCGCGCTTGGAGAGCCGCGCAGCGGCGCGATCTGTCACCGGCCGTGTACCTCGGACACGGCCGATGACAGATCTGAGTATCGGCCCTGTTGCCAGTACCATGTGACCTGCTGTGACCAATCACAGCAGGTCACATGACAGTTGTATACAATGGATGGCTTCATTCATGCCGTCCATTGTATACTAGTGTCTAGCTGTGAATGGTCACAGCTAATCACATGCATATGTCATGTGATTAGCTGTGGCCAAATCACAGCTAAGCACAAAAGAAGAAAAAAAACCCTGAATGAATCGATGTCATTCAGGTAAATGCTTGCTTATAGCAAAGTAATTCTTTGCTATAAGCAAATTGTGTAAAAAAAAATAAATAAATACTGATCACTTCCCCAAAGTAGTACAATGTTACTATGGTAACATTGTACTACTTTGGTCATAGTGAAATATAAAAATAAAATCTTAAAAAAAAGAAAAAAAAATGTAATAAAAAATGTAAAATAATGAAGAAAAAAAAAATTTTTTTTTTTTTTCACACTGTCACCAGTCAGTGTCCCTGATTACCGCCATTCCAGTTATATGATGACGCTATACTGCACTGGTGACAGTATGTAAAAAACAAAATAGTGAAAATAATTTTTTTTATGTTTTCATTTTCCGCAAAATTATGACAAAAAAAATACAACTTCCAAAAACTCGCCATGCCTCTTATGAAGTACGTCGGACTGTCTACTTTGCAAAAAGGGGTCATTTGGGGGATATCTGTACTGTTCTGACATTCTTGGACCTCAAGAAATTAGATTGGCTGTCAGTACTTCAGGATTGATCAATATTCAGATATATCCCATAGTTTGTGAACTCTATAACTTTCCTACAAACTAAAAAATACATCCTAATTTGGGTTACTTTCACCAAAGACATGTAGCAGAATACATCTCTGCCTAAATTTATGAAGAACAATTATTTTATTTGCAAACTTTTATAACCGAAACAAAGAAAAACGTGGTTTTTTTCCAAAATTTTCAGTCTTTTTTTGTTAATTTAGCAAAAAATAAAAACCCCAGCGGTGATTAAATACATCAAAAGAAAGCTCTAGTTGTGTGAAGAAAATGATAAAATTTTAGTAGTTTGGGTACAATGTTGTATGACCGCGCAATTGTCATTCAAAGTGTAAGAGCGCTGAAACCTGAAAACTGGCCTGGGCAGGAAGGTGTAAAATTGCCCGGTATTGAATTGGTTAATTTGCAAGAGCATTTTTACGTAGCTTAGAGAATGGGATGAAGCTGACTTCCATCATCCAATCATGAGCAAGCAAAAAAATACTGTTGCTTTTTTTTACACTTTCCTTGCATGCAGTTGGGTATTCTTTGCAAAGTGACTTTTCAGCACATTCACTAAGCTAAAGGAAAATTCCCCTGCAAAGTGAACAGTCTACGCGCCTTAGTAAATCAACTCCACCATGCACTTTTGGCCACCCCTTCCACTATATCATGCTGACTGAAAGCAGAGCTAACACATAGGTGTTTATTTACTAAAGCTGGAGAGTCCAAAATCAGACTCCCTTCTGCATAGAAACCAATCAGCTTCTAACCTCAGCCTGTTCAATGAAGCTTTGGCAATGAAACCTGGGAGGAAGCTGATTGGTTTCTATGCAGAAGGGAGTCTGATTTTGGACTCTCCAGCTTTAGTAAATAAACCCCATAGGGTCCATTTATAAAGTAGCAGCATGGCCATACTAATGTTTAAAAAAAATACAGCACATTTTAAAAGCTCTCACTACCCCCTCCCCTTTCCGTCCCTTTTACCCCCCCTCTTCTTCTTTTTTTTGTTCTCTTTCCCTTTCTTTCTTTTCTATGTTTACACTTCACTACTCATCCGTCCCGTAGGCCCTTACATATTGCATTGGGTTTCATAGCAGGCTATTGATGAATAAACTTTCTAGTCTCTCGAAGTCTGTTGGAATATACATTAGACCTAAGACCGGTTTATGTCGTACCTATGTTAAATATTCTAGACCTAGACTTCTGTTCTTGTCCTAACGGTACCTTTTCTGAATTTGTACGTGGATGGTTAGGTCTCTGTATCTTGCGTATTTCTATGTTTTTTGTGTATTATCATTGTGAAAACTGTCTATAAATAAATAAAAAAGCTCTCGCAGGTGCCTTATGCAGGGGGAACTCCTTTAGTCACAGCAGTCTTTGGGATTTTGACAGTTCTGAATCGGGCTCCTTCTCAGCAGGACAATATCAGGGAGGATGAGCAAGGTGAGCTCAAGGACCAGGAGACAAGGGAGTGGGAGTATGGTCACCCATGCTATTAGCCCTTCCCTGGCTTCTGTATGGAAATGCAGAAAAAAAGCTAGGGGCAGACCTCCTTCATGTAATCTGTCAAAGTCATGTGACCAGCCCCTCCTTCAATCCCGGTGCTCTCCCAGCTGCCTTAAGAAGAGGGAACTCTGTTAGTCACAGCAGTCTGCATTTTATGAATGGGCCTTAAAAGAAAATCTACATTTTTACACTGCAGTATATAGCGAGGAACGGATAGCAATTATTTATAAATGTCCCCCATGGTGTTTCAAAAGAAAGACGTACTTTAAAAAAACAAAAAACATCTGTTGATTTTTTAGCATTAATTCTTAAGGTAAAATGATTATTTCTACTTACTTTGGTGTGAAGTTTTGCAAACTGTTTGTCATCCAGTAATGTCTGTGTATAAACTCTTCTTTTATAGCGAAACTGAGGAAAG